AATGAAAAAATGAAATGAAATTAGTTGTTGATGTTATCATTCACATCCTGTTGGTAGAGCTCGATGAGTTTCTACATAGCAACACTCCATATATGACATATCAAAGTTGTATTAGTTTAGTTAGGATTGCTGGTTGGTTACAGCTGGTTGGAAAAAGCAAAACGGGTAGAGTGCAGACATTTGTAAAAGGTCAGAGTGGCTCTGTGTTTGGAGGATCATTTTACAGGCCCAGAAACATAAACAATGAGCTGAATACACTGCACAATAGAGCATACATATCCTTTCATTATTTGACCCGCTGCCAAGCAACAGTTGTATTATGTTCGCCCAACCCAGTGGCATAGTCACATGCTATGAAGGCATGCAGCTTATTAAAGCCGAGGGACCAAAGGATATGCACACAGTCTCTTTTTACAGCCTGTCTCTCTTTCACAAACACATGCACACATTTCTCTCCACACATACAGTAATGAACGGAGCAGTCTTGCCAACTATCTGCACAAAGTAGAGTTATAAGCCCTACTACATTACTGCTCTGCCTTTTAGTGTTAAGTCTTGAGTTTTGCAGAATAAGCTTATGGACAAGGTGGGATATTGTTTTCCTTGACTAATCAGCTTTAAAAAAAAGTTGAGACATTACTGTGAAGTTTCTTCCTGCCTAAGGGTCAGGTTAGGTTTTGAAGGCTACTTTATAATATCCCACCAGGACAATGCAAAATCAAATCCTTCATTTGTGAAAAACTTTTCTAAAGGATTGAAGGAGACACTTTCTGACAGTTGTTCAATCAGGAGAGACGGTTTTGATGCAAGAATACATATTTATTGCCAGGAATACACGAATGAATGTAATGGAGTTTTGGCGATTAGGCCCCGTTGTGCAGGAGTATCATTCGGGAGGGGAGAACCGATCCGATGAAACCCCCCCGGGGTCTAGACACTGGTGGTGGTGAATGGATAGTTGGGTTCGGTCTGAAGGGGAGGGGCTTAGCTTGACCCTGGATTCAGAGGGACAGGAGGTGAAAAGGGGTGGAGGAGGGTTGCGTCGAGTCACCTGAAATGACAGCTGTCAGAGAGGGGAGAGCAGATTTAAAAGGGTTAGCGGAGCGCTATGATAGGTTTGTGACGCCCCCGATCACTCATTGAGAGGAGAGAGACTAGCCTAGTAACATAGCATAATAAATGAATGAGTAAAGAAGGTCTTTCTGGTTGAACTTGCGCTGAGCTTCATTTGTTAGACCTATAACAAATCATAAACAATATTGGTTTTGTCTTTGTAGACTTGCCCTGACATGTTGTTTTTTTGTTTAAATGTCATGTACTTTGCACTCTGAACATACTTTGACAACGAAGAATCTTTCCTGAAAATTGATCTGGTTTTAAACAGACAACAAATACAACTTAGATACATAGGCAGCCTGTCAAAACATTTGCTTTTGGCATTAACTATGTTGGCTTTAATATAGGTATAGCTACAGTATAATTGAGAGCATGGTCAATTGAATCAAAGCATGCCTATACTTAAGATCTGCTTCCAGTCTTATGGCAATTATAAACACTCAAAGTGCTTATAGAGTTTATGCTTTTTAAAATATTTGCAGTATTACCATTTAAAGTGGACCTATCATGCTATATTTGAATAATATAGTGTAGGACCATACCTATATAAGGCATATTTATACTTTTTATTTTTCAAAATACCAAACAGATCATGCATTTTAGCCATGCCTCATTTTGCTCAATTTGACATTTTTTAGCTCTGATTTTGCAAGGGCAGATTCTGTGAGAACAGCACCACCTACAGGCCTGGCATATGTACTACAGCGTCTCCAGCGCTTTCGAACGGCAATGGCCGTGGCTGTCTCCTCCTGATTGGTGGAGTTGGCCCAATAGCCGTAGCGCCACCGTCCTGACGTCAGGACAGTGTTCAAATCTGGATCAGTTTTTATCAGATCCGTTGCAGCCCCTTTTTTAGAGATTTGGGTATGGAGGAAAATAGAGAGGGTTGTGTTTTCTGACACTTGGTGAGTTCCCTGGAACACCGGGGACACATATTCATGTAGAAAAGACGTACAAAAGTGCATTTTGCATGATAGGTCCCCTTTAAGTTAAAATATGTGGGAACTAAATAGTAGCAGATCCTTAAGTAAATATTCTTGACTGCATGTATAGCATCTCCACGGTGTTGTTATAAAAGCAGTGTTTATTTTATTATGTCGGAGTAAATAGAACTCCGCTACGAATCCCAAAAAAAAGAAGATCTGAACAGAGTTAGAGAAACTAAAAAAGAAAAGTAGAAGCAGTGACCCTCCCTGATTTACTGCTCTGCCTTGGTTCACCCTTGTGTGAATGTGTCAGTTCTTCAGCACAGACATCTTTGATCTTCTGGCAGCCAGGGGGGGACACAGATGACATGTCAGTGCACGTTGCTGTAAAGCCTCTGTTCTGTTCGGGGCGCACAGCATGACTCTTATGTGCCTTCATAACAGGCAAGTTAATCTTTAATCTTTTTAATTAGACATTTAAGGTGAGGTTATTAACAACAGACCCCCGCTGTCTCCTGTTTTGCAGGTTCTGAAATAGACTGAGCCGGAAGCTGAACTATTTGGGGTTTAATATCAGGATAGTGTCTAGTAATGATTGAGTAAAATGTCCTGTGGAAACCTTTTAAAACATAGTGTATTCTTTGGCTAATAGTAGGGCAAAATAAACATCCTCTATCTCCTTCACACAGTAGTTTTCCCTCATTGCTGCTTCAAACACTTTGTTGTGTTTTTATCCCGTGCCACTGACAGCAAGATGACACTAGAGGACAGTGTTGGCAATGTTTGATCTTATCTTGTCTCCACCATAACTCTGATCCTGCTGTGTGGTTGTTAGGCTTTAAAGAGAGTAGTCAGACCGTTGGGAGTTTAGCCTTCATGCTCCAGATGATTAACTCATTTTCTTCTGGTATTTGCATCCTTTAGACATGTTTTACACAAACCTTGCTTTAATAGAGAACTGGAACATCAGGTTATTTGTTTCAAAATGACACTGCAACTAATGATTGTTTTCAATATTGATTAATCTGCAGATAATTTTTTTATGTCCAATTTGTTTAGCCTAAAATATTGAAAAATGTCCACATCAATTCCTAAAGCCAAAGGTCAAATATCTTTAAATATCGCCTTTTGTCAGTATATCACCCAAATATATTGAATATGATATTAAACTTAGAAAATCTCCTTTAAAATACAGGCTTAAAATATTATTTTCTGCCTATAAAAAACAAATTACTTCAATAACAATACAATGATTATCAAACTAGTTAGCAATTACTTTCTGTCAATAAGCTAATTGATAAGACACATACTTGTTGCAGCTCTTCATACAAGGCATTGTTTTTACTTTTTGCTATATTCTTGGAATAATGGCATGAGGAAAAAAGGTTTGAAGGATGATATATCCAATATATCAAAACTGAACATGAATACATGTAATACTACAGATACTGTAATACTGCACTTTTTTGAGATACCTTCAACCCAACCCAAGGCTCTTGTATCCCTATGAGCCGACCTGTGCTCTGCATGTGTTTGTTAGTCAGGAAGTTACTACAGTACCCTACGCTGCCCACCTCTCACCCCCCTCACCATGCACCATGTGTTACATCAGGCCCCTGATGGAGTATCACCCTGGGTGACCGAGTGTCCCGGATAGTAATCGACAATTCCCCAGGCTCGAGCTCAGAGTCCTGCTGCAGTTTGCACACCGCTCATAACTATGCTCACCCACAGAGACAGCAGCAGTGGGACACAGAACACAGGTGAGTGCAGAGCAGCATTCAACCTCAACCACTTACAGCAAATCTTAGACATCTTCATCACTGTTGAGATTATTTTCTATGTCATGCTCACTTGGTAAATTGGCAGACTTTTTGCTGGAGGATTAATCTGGGTTTTAAAGATGCCTCTGTCAAAGTTTACATGCTCTAATAACCACAGCGTAGGTTATTTCTCGGTAATGAGGTGCGTGCCTGTGTGTGTGATAACATCTGCACTCATACTTTGCGTGCAATAATTGCCGCAGGCTGTGTGTTCTCCTCTGCTTGATTCTTTCTTCAAAAGCAGAAGTTAATGAGTAAAATCTAATTATATGGCTGTTTATCAGCGGACACTGCTTAGTGGATCCGTGCTGCTTTTGGCCTTTCTCTGCAGCTTCTCAGTATGGGTTGTGTTTTCCTGCAGTTTGCTACTACATGAGGATTATGAAGATGTTGAAGTTATACTAATGTATATTTACAAGCATTGCAATGAAGACACTGTATTTGGTATCGAAAAATACATTGTAATTTCTACTTACGTTTTATTAATTGCTGCACAGGAAATAATGCTGGGCTTAATTAATATTTCGATAATGCCACATCAAATCCTTTTTTCAACTTTTCATTTTACATATTATCTTTTGCTTTTATTAACAGTACTTTTGAAGGTTTGTGATCCAAATTAGATGACATCGATTAAAACCACAACTGTTTTATTATACAGTATGTGCACCAATAATATTCATCTCTGTTGGCCCATTGTATATTTGGACTAAATATTACTTCAAGCCATCTGGGACAATATTTCACGTTGCACAACATGTGAAAGAATCAAAGTGACCGTGGCTTTTAATTGTGACACTTTAAGCCCAGTGATCGTAACTCCATAGTTTTACATTAATGACATTCATATTTTATGTAAACACAAAGTATTGTTGTTACAGTAAATACTAATCTTCCCAGTTTAATGCAGATATTTTTGCAGATTTCTATGAACTTTATTTAAAATCATATCTCATTGTGCCATATCAGTGGATCACAATGATTTGCTGTTGCAGTTGCAGTGCATGATTTATCAGGATGCCTCCAATATATCTCAAAGAACAAGTATTTGCAGAGAAATATAGTTTGGTTGATATTCCGCTGTACATTATATAAGTTGTATATGCCTTATGTCTTGTTTTCCTTTCTCTAACAGGACACGGGAATCATAAAGAAGACAGTCCATTTCTCAACAGTGCCGATGCTGCAAGCAAGAAGAATGACTTCTATGACAGGAACCTGGCTTTGTTTGAGGTCTGTTACTTTTCCCCATATTTATGTAAGATGTTCCACTTGCACCAAACAAATTAATACAACTTCTCCCTTCTTTTCCTCCTCCAGGAAGAGCTGGACATCCGGCCGAAGGTCTCGTCTCTGCTCAGCCGCCTGGTCAGCTACACCAACATCACCCAGGGGGCGAAGGAGCACGAGGACGAGGAGAGCGCTGGGGCCTCGCGCAGGAAGACCCCCAAGGTCAGGACACAGCCGAGGAACACTAGGCCCCACTGTTTTTCTATCACTCAGTCTATGGAGGTTTAGAAACACTATCTTCCACCTCTTGCTCTCTCCCTGCCTCGCTATCCAAGTTTTTGATTTGTATTAAGAGTTGTTGATTGATTGCTTATGCCTTTGCACGCTCTGCACTCACACTGTGGCTGTGGGAGACCTGAATGCATGCAAAGAGCTGATGATAACATGATTGAATGACCTTTAAAAAAAGTACATCAATCAATACAAGTGATCAATACACTTGTTTCCTGAAATGTCATGGTCAATATTCTCCCCTCTCCCTCTGCATCTCTATCTCTTTACCCCTCCCTCTTTCTCTCTGTCAGGCTCCCAACATGGGCACTCTGATGGGAGTCTACCTGCCGTGTCTCCAGAACATCTTCGGTGTCATCCTCTTCCTCCGACTGACGTGGATTGTAGGGATGGCTGGCATCATGCAGTCACTCCTGATCGTGCTCATGTGCTGCTCTTGTGTTAGTATTCACACACACACACACACACAACTGTACAGACCAACACACACACACGCTGGGTTGATTCCCCCAACAATGTGTGCCAGCCTTTGCTAAACCAGTCAATAGGAGGTTAAAGAGGAAGCAACAATTATTTAAGCCAAATAATGCCCCCTTGACCTGTATGTTTTTTTTAGTCAGTGCTTCCATTACCTTTCATACTTAACAAATAGCTTACTGTGGTCTTATTAACTGTAGGCTACATATGCTAAGTGTTTAGAGATATGTTTTCTTAGAGGGAAGCTGTGCTTAATGTCAATTTTAATATTGGATATTTACTGAATACCTAGAAGTTGCCATGCCTTTTCCATATTACTTATATTTTCTTTCCTCTGTAGACAATGCTCACGGCCATATCAATGAGCGCCATTGCTACGAATGGTGTTGTTCCAGGTAATTCAAAATCTCTCTTTGGTACATAGCACTCAGAAATGTTTTGGCTAATTTGAAGCCAATGCAGTAGCAGGGGTTTGACTTGTTAAAAGCAATACAGGACTCTTGCTTCTTTGAGTTTGAAAGCTAAATTAAATGTAATTTAACGTCATGTAAAAAGAGAGCACCCTTAGCTTAAATGTATCCAGCAAAATGCCAACGTCCGCACTATAAATGTCATGTTTTAGACAAGTTAGTAGACATTAACTGCTTTGTAAGACATTTCTATCTGGACCTAGAAGTTACATTTGAAATTACGTTTTTATCCACTTGGGGGCAGCAGAGATTTACCGTTGAATCCACTGTATGTAATCTAGTAAAGATTTTGTATTTCCAATTTCCAGTAACTTTGTTTTGCTGTTGTAGCTGGAGGGGCATACTTCATGATCTCACGCTCCCTCGGCCCTGAGTTTGGAGGAGCTGTGGGTCTGTGCTTCTACTTGGGCACCACCTTTGCCTCTGCCATGTACATATTGGGGGCCGTCGAAATATTCTTGGTCAGTTTGCTTAAATATTAATGTGTGGTTACATTACTCACATTGGTAGGCTTCAAAATGATTTCCAAACACTATTTTATATGCGTTTTTATATATGCAGTAACTGGACTGTAATTTATTTTCTCCTCAGAAATATCTGGTCCCCCAGGCGGCCATATTTCACGCCACAGACTCCCTTGGGGGTGACAGTGCCATGCTGAACAACATGCGAGTGTACGGCTCGATCTGCCTCAGTCTGATGGCTGTGGTGGTTTTTGTTGGAGTTAAATATGTCAACAAGCTGGCCTCTCTTTTCCTGGCCTGCGTCATTATCTCAATTGTCTCCATTTATGCCGGGGCATTAAAATCCATGACTCATCCCCCAGAGTTTACGTAAGTCTGCAAAGAGGGTTTGCTAATATAAACATGTGCCTTAACAGAAAGTATTGTGAATTATGGGGACCTTAATATGGATGAAGTGTTTTCTATGGAAATTATATGGATTTGTTGGAGATGCTTTTTCAACCTGGATAAATTATATAATTGTTTTCATTTTTATAAATATTATTTTATTAATACAATTGTCCTTATTATTATGGCGTTAATCTCCCACCAATTAAATGTTTCAGTCCAACAGTTTGACTATAACTTAAATACTAAAGTTTGATAACCTTTTGACTATAATGAAGGTTTGGAGAAAAACTCCACGACCATAGTAATCCCTGTATTTGTGTCCCTGTCCTGGCTGTAGGATCTGCATGCTGGGAAACAGGACTTTGGTGAGAGATCGCTTCGATGTGTGTGCTAAAACGGTGACAAAGGACAACATGACGGTGCCCAGCCAGCTGTGGGAGAGGTTCTGTCTACCGGGGAACATGAGCAGCGCGCAGTGTGATGACTACTTCCTCCAGAACAATGTGACGGAGATACAGGGCATTCCTGGACTGGGCAGTGGGATTATTAAAGGTACATTTACCATTGGTTGACAAAGGGATTAAAGTATAAAGCATGAGATGTTGCTAGATAATGAATGTAACAACTCTCAACGTTGCAAGTATGTCAATCATTATTATAGACATCCAGATTAAGAAGTAAAAAACAGTGTTGGGATGCATTCAAGATGAAGATGCATTCATAACTTTATTGCATAAAAGTTAAATGTTAATTTTAAGGATATATAATCATTGAGTGGCAAATTCAAGCTGTTTTCTTTTTTCTGGAAATCATACTTTTATAGTTTGCAATGTCCTGCATCATGAATAACATATATATGCGTTATAAAATGATACTGTTTTCGAATGTAAGTGTGTCACCAATGTTTTAAATGTCTTCTGTTTTTAGAAAACATGTGGGGCGACTACCAAAGGAAGGGGGAGATCTTGGAGAAAGTGGGGCTCGAGTCAGTGGAGGTCCATGGTGCCACGGACAACTTTGGCATGTATGTGTCAGCAGACATCGCTACATCGTTCACGCTCCTGGTGGGGATCTTCTTCCCGTCTGCCACAGGTATTACAACGACATACAGAAAACCATCACAAAGGTCTGTCATGACACAAACCTCAGTCTACACAGTATGAAACTGTAAATTGACTCTTTCCAAATGTGTTCAACAACCATTTTAAACTAAAGTGCCAGTTACCTGCTTGAACTTAAATCTATAATGTTTGAATTTGGATGCAACATTAAGCCATTAAATGCTATGTTATTACATGTCTTAACATAAGTAACTAGCACACAGTGAAATACACAAGCTTAACCACTGATCCAGCCAGCAGGGGGCACAGTTAAACAGCTCTTACATTTCCTCTGTTTTCACTAACTGTATTTTGTCTTACAGGTATCATGGCAGGGTCCAACCGATCTGGAGATCTCCGGGACGCTCAAAAGTCCATCCCTGTGGGAACCATATTAGCCATTACTACTACTTCTCTTGTTTGTATCCTTTTTTTGACGATTACCCACAATAAATCAACAACTGTGTTCTTTCAGAAAAGATGCTGAAGTAGATTTATATGTGTGTCTCCTTGACCTCTTGTTCAGATATCAGTTCTGTGGTTCTGTTTGGTTCTTGCATCGAAGGAGTGGTCCTCAGGGACAAGTAAGTCGTTTGTTTACTGCACTATTGGGACATGCTGTAAGTGTAACCATATTGGGGACGTATGTTCCCCAGACTTCCTCCCGAGTTTTGGGAAATGTAACAGCCATCAAAATACTTGTTTTGCAAAGTAAAATGTAAAAACATCAGACTCAGGGACAGTGTTATCCCACAGGCTTTAAGACTATTAAATCCCTGAGCTCTGAATTGAATTATTTTATTTAGTATTTTTACAATCCACATCCATTCATATATTATAACAATAAGCAGTATTTTATTAGACCTATCAGTACTTAGTTTGACAATCTGTTATATTTTATTCAATTTGTTATAGTTTACTCATTCCTGCATTTCACGTGGCATATTGTGTAATTTTTACTGATTTATGTCTCTTTTCTTTTTTATTTCTTAAGTATTTTGAAATGTTGGGGGAGTCTGGGTCATAGGATTTTACTGCCAAAAACTACACTGTAGCATTTGTGTGTATGACAGCAGAGCTTGACTCTTGAATAAGTCATGTCAGTCTTATTCTTGGTCATATTCAGTCAGTCTGTTCTTGCAGGTTTGGGGACGCTGTTCACAAAACCTTGGTGGTGGGTACGCTCTCCTGGCCGTCTCCATGGGTTATTGTGATTGGCTCCTTCTTCTCCACGGTGGGCGCGGGCCTTCAGTCCCTCACCGGGGCGCCACGACTCCTGCAGGCTATCGCCAAGGACAACATCATTCCTTTCCTCCGGGTGAGACGTTGTTGTTGTTGACACATTGTGCAACCCCGTCACATTCTCTGGAAAAATAGCTAATGTTGCAGCAAAACAGTAATAGCTCCCATGGTCACTTCTGTTTTATATTATTTACTAAACATACCATGATTTGGATATTCATGATAACATCTAAATTACTTACAGTGTGTCGGAAATGTGACTTTAAATTTGAATGGGATGCTTATTTGACTATGACACAGTATCAAACATGAAGTGATTTGCATCGCTGTGTTTGAAGGTTTTGAATTTCTTGTTTTCAGGTGTTTGGTCACGGAAAGGCCAATGGAGAGCCGACATGGGCCTTACTACTGACGGGCCTCATCGCTGAACTGGGCATCCTTATTGCCTCACTGGACATGGTGGCTCCTATCCTTTCCATGTAAGCTCACAATGCCAAAAATAGGACATTTTTATATATATATATATTTTTATTGAGATTAATACACAACCAAAAGCACAACATTATTTCTTTACATTTGTTTTTTTAATTAACTAAAAGTACATACGAAAAAGAAAAATTTTACAACAGCAATTACTTACAAAATGCAGAATACAGAATACATATGTAAGCTAAAAATAAAATAAAACAAACCCAACACACACACACACACACACACACACGCACGCACACACACACACACACACACACACACACACACACACACACACACACACACACACACACACACACACAGGGTGTTCGCTGTTGGATGCCAGCACTCCATCAGCGCAATCACATTTATTTAATTAAGACATGTTGGGTGCATGAATTGCTTAATTTCTCTGTTTGGTTAAGGCCAACTACACCATGGATGATGGATGATGTACTTCAAATGTGCTGTAAATTCTCCTTTTCTTCATTCAATAGGTTCTTCTTGATGTGCTATCTCTTTGTGAACTTAGCCTGTGCAGTTCAGACTCTTTTACGCACACCCAACTGGAGGCCAAGGTTCAAATATTACCACTGGTGAGTACCGGTGGATCCCCCCCATACTTTGTAGAGAGTGGGGTCATATTTTGTTACTAGTCCTATGGGCTTGATGGTTTTCTTAGTGTGCAAAAACATCGCCTCAGGCTCTATGTGTCATATCCACAGGGCTCTCTCCTTCCTTGGCATGAGTATGTGTCTGGCTCTGATGTTCATCTCCTCCTGGTACTACGCTATTGTGGCCATGGTCATTGCTGGGATGATCTACAAATACATAGAGTTTCAAGGGTATGTATGATGACTTATTAGCATTTCACTTTTGTTTTGCTGCCCCATTAGAGTACATTCTTGCATTGGGCCATGATGGTTGTGTTTCTGTGTGTCTGTAGTGGATTAACTGTTCCTCATGTCTGTTTCTTGTCTCTCTTCCAACAACAGAGCAGAGAAGGAGTGGGGGGACGGTATAAGAGGACTGTCCCTCAGCGCAGCACGATACGCCCTGTTGAGACTGGAGGTTGGACCCCCGCACACCAAGAACTGGAGGTACAGCTAAACCTGCAAGAGGCACTCTCAATATGTACAGAAAACCCCATTGGACTGCATTTCTGAGAAGCCATATTGCAAGTTGTTTTCACGTCTGTGTTCGGTTATGAATAGAGCTTATACACTATACATTTAACAGAATCATGCCACACTCTCTCCCTCTGACCACTGGCAAATAGTACCCATTGTAATGACTGATCCCAGCTTGTGTGCAGTCAATTTATTATTTTAAATTCTGGATTAGAGAGAAGCTGTGAGTTTTATCAAAATCCTGTCAATTGCATTTGAGAAACGTGTTGCATCCAAATGGACAAAGCTCATAAAAAGTAGGTCTTCCACATCGGATAACAATGGCTCTTCAGAATGATGATAATGCCACACAAAATAAACAACATTTGATATGTTTACCACCAGCTGTTGTCCATACTGACACACAGGGAGTACGTGCCATTTGTCAGTTATGAATTGACAGTCGTTTTAGGGAAGTTGACACCTGAGGGAAGATTCCAAGCTCATTGTAATCATGCTAACTGGGAATTGCGTGCTGTATTATATAACTACTGTGATGCTGCACTTCCTCTTTTTTTTATGGAGCAACTGTAGTGAGGAAATAAGAACATGTAGGGTGGACACATAGGCAGAGTGCTTTGGGTCCAATAGCTTTACATTTTAACATTAAGTTTAATAATTATGTTCTTCCTACTCTTTGCAGACACAGTAATGTTATTTATTTTAAGTTTTCTTTATACATTTGCTGGACATTTTATTTTTAAAATCTTATCTAATCTCAATCTTATCCAAACAGAGCAGCCCAGTAAATAGTTTCTGGGTGATTCAGTGGTTTACAAAAATCCAGATATCTAAAATTTGGCAGAACAGAGAGAGTTATTTTAGGTGTTAAATAGAAATATACACATTTGCATTTCTTTATTTCAGATGTCATTAGGACCTCATTCAAAGGGAAATGGTGTCTTCTAACTGCTTTAGAATTAACAGTTATGTGTTACCTGGATGTATAAACACATTTTCAAATATGTTCACCTTTATCCCACTTTATCGTATACACTATGTGTTTTGAAAAGCAAATCACAGAAAAGCTGCTTGACAATACAACTTGAAAGTGTCCAATTTGATCAAAATCAAAACTATTTTTTTTATTAATGAACACAACGGCAACCTAGGTAAATAATGTGAATTTGTCTCAATAACACAATCTTTTAACAAGGATGCACAAACACATCTGATTTGACACATTTGATCCAGGCCTTTGACTCATATTGACCTTCTTTGACTCTTTCAGACCTCAGCTGCTGGTGCTGCTGAAGCTGGATGAAGACCTCCATGTGAAATACCCTCGTCTGCTCACCTTTGCCTCGCAGCTGAAGGCGGGAAAGGGTCTGACCATTGTGGGCTCGGTGGTCCAGGGCAACTTCCTGGAAAGCTATGGGGAAATGCAGGCAGCTGAGCAGGTAAATACTAGAAGGGGTGTGTTTTGCACGTGCTCCACACAGTTCTCTATTGTACTGTGCTGCTGACTGTGTTGCAGCTAATTGTTACAAATGACCACCTTTTGTAAATTGAAAAGCACAATGGAGCGAAAATATGCTTCAATGGGAATTTTCCATTTTTCTGACTTTTCTAGCATTTGTCACTTTAATCTAAGGACACGGCTGGAAACAGCTTGTTGTTGTAACTACAATATGGTGCCAATGATGCATTACAGTTCAAATAAGGGACATTTTTCATAATGTAATGTCTCTTGTAAAAACGTATACAAGTGAAGTAAAGTTTGCTTCTGTTAATGGGACAACAACTGGGGAAATAAATCACTCATTCATTTACTTATAGCCAATATTCATGGGTCTATCTATATTAACTTATGTGCAATGCATTGTTGACATGTTGCTTTAAAAAAACAATTTCCCAATTTGGGATGAATAGTTATTATTATATATTATATATATTATATATATTATTATATAGTTATATTATTAGTTATTATTATCCAATCTAAAACCTTGTAATTTAATTTGAATTGATGAACCATGTTTTTTTTGTGCCATTTAAATCCATACAGGTTCACATTTTAAGGCATGCACTTAAAGCTGTCAAACATATTAACTTTGTAATGTTTTTGTTTACAAGCATTATGTAACCATTTTTTTATGTCAACTGTTTATTTGGTCAATTCTTTATTTGTTATCATGGACATACATACATTATTTTTCTGCCAGGCCATTAAGCACATGATGGAGATAGAGCGGGTGAAGGGCTTCTGTCAGATCGTGGTGGCCTCTAAGGTGCGTGACGGTATAATGCACCTGATCCAGTCCTGTGGTCTGGGGGGCATGAAGCACAACACGGTGATGATGGGCTGGCCGTACGGCTGGAGGCAGAGCGAGGACCCTCGGGCCTGGAAGACTTTCATCAGTAAGAGTCTCACTGCAATACTGCTCACAACATGACACCTAAAACACTTAACAAGCATAACATGCTGTTGAATTAACACAAGCTTCACTCTTATAAACTCCAACTTATAAACAGTTTTGTTTTTGCCAATGCCTTTTATTAAATCAAATAACTATTTATATTTTAAACTGGACCAAAACATGTATTACTGTATGCATTTTACATTTATTCTATTTTAGCTTATTTCAATTTTTATTCTCTTGGCTTTTTAATGACTGTTTCTAAATGTATTTAAATGACATTTGATTTGTTTCTTTTACACTGTTTACACTGCTGTTTTTACACTGCTATAAATACTTTGAATGGCCTTGTTGAATACGAAATGCGGATGTTATAATAGATTTTGTGTTAGTTTCCATTTGCTTGCACACAATGTACATTGTAGCTAAAGTAATTCATGCAGTACAGTTAATAATCCATGCCTCCATGTTTCCTCCTCTCCTCAGACACAGTCCGCTGCACCACAGCTGCTCACCTCGCCCTGATGGTGCCCAAAAATGTGTCCTTCTACCCGAGCAACCATGAACGCTTCACAGATGGCAACATTGACGTTTGGTGGATCGTCCATGATGGCGGGATGCTAATGCTGCTGCCTTTCCTGCTCAAACTGCATAAAGTGAGACCTCAGCTATCTTTGAGCTACTTTGGAGCTCTAAAACCTTCAACACGTACATGCTCTCCTTGAATAGTCTTTGTTAGTTTTAGTTGTTTTCACTTTTCAAGATATTTCCACTTTTATTTCTGAAATATGTTTCTGTGAGTAATTATAGTCACAATCATTCAATTTTGCACATGGTCAAATACCACATGGTTGTATCTGTATTTTAGGTTTGGAGGAAATGCTGCATGCGCATCTTCACTGTAGCCCAGATGGAGGACAACAGCATCCAGATGAAGAAAGATCTGGCCACGTTCCTATACCAGCTGAGAATAGAGGCGGAAGTGGAGGTGGTAGAGATGGTGAGGATCTCTCTTACCAAGTAAAGACTCACATACGTCTTTTTATGGGAACAACAAGACCAGCATGAATTGAACTTGGTGATGAAATTGCAACTGAGACCAGATGCCCTTTGCCACAAACACGCTGGTGCTTAAAAAGAAAAATCACTGCTTGACATGAAAATGGATGTAACTTTCGTGCTCACTCAATCCATGTGCAACAGACACATCAAGTATGATTAAGTTGCATTAACCACAATTATGTTTTTCAAAACTGCACTTTAGCATGACAGCGACATCTCAGCATACACCTACGAGCGAACATTAATGATGGAGCAGAGGTCGCAGATGTTGAGACAAATGAGGCTGTCCAGTGCGGAAAGAGAAAGAGAGGTATGTTTTTTTGTTGTGTAATGTTCATTTATAATATATTTCACAAATTCAAAAAACTTATCATGCATGATACGTAACTAACTCCTGAGCCTTCGTTTTCTGATGTTGTGAATCATTTCGGAAATATCTTGCGCAATCTTGTGATGTACAATTCTATAAATAACAATTTAAGTTACGTACAGTTCATTGACAACTAGTCCATATGTCATTCCCATGCAGTGTTGGGTGTAACGCGTTATTTTCTCCAGGTCACAAAGTCAACCTCACATGATGATGTGATACCAGTTTTCAAGCACAGTAAATATTCTCTTCCCAGAGTATGTGATGGGACCAAGGTGACGATGTAGTACATGGTTTTAATAATACTTTTGCTTTTCAATGTTTGCCATTTCAAACCATGAGCTGGTTCAAATAATATTTGCCTAGATTTACAATATGTTCTCATTTGTTTTATCAGTACAGTTTTGAAGCTTTTGTGCTTTCCCTTGCCATAGTCCACTTTGGACTATATGAAATATTTCAGGATTGCACTTTTAACACACTTGAAATGTTCTCACTTGCTTGGTTTCAAAACATAACAAATGCCATAATCTGTTCATTGGGGACCATAATAACATCAATGCTATTTTTCATTGCTGTTGCCGGCCACTATTGCTCATGTAAACCTACTACTGCTGCACCCCCTTTAATCTCAGATGCACCCCAAGTCATTTTGTTCTGGAACCGGGCCTGTACATGGCCATATACTAAACAAAATACAGAGCCCATTCCGTGTCCTGTTATTGTTTACTTCCTCTCTGCCTTCTTCTGGTGATTTATCTAACGTCCAGCGCTCCGTCTTTTAACCTCTTTTCCTTTCTCTTTCTTGATCCTCCTTAGCAACCTTCATTATAGTCCTTGACAGTGGTCTGTACTACTGTATTAACAACGTGTCACATGTTAAGAATTTACAATCAGAATCGAGTATTCAACTAAGCCGTGTAATAACAGTTGTTAGTAGCCTTAAGGGCCTACACAGTTGTTATGCTACAGTATACCACATTGCACCACATTGCCCTTCACTGGATGTATAATGAGCTGCACTAAACTACATTTTAGCATTTAAAATACCTAGCCATTCTTTTGCGGTTATTTTGGTGAAAGTAACTCAAAAGTAATATAAAAGTAGTTTAACTCATTACATTTCAGAGACAGTAATATTGTAATGTAACTTATTACTTTAAAAAGACAGTGATAAGTAATATGTACTATATTACATTTTGGAAGTAACCTGCCCAACACTGTTCCCATGGAATGCAGGCCCAGCTGGTGAAGGACAGACACTCTTTGGTGCGAATGGGAAGTCTATACTCAGATGAGGAAGAGGAAGTGGTGGAGGCTCCTCCAGAGAAGGTTCAGATGACGTGGACAAGAGAGAAGTGTGAGGCTGAGAGGAGGAACAGGAAAAACGCGCCTGAGAACTTCAGAGAACTCATGAGCCTCAAACCGTGAGTCGCTTTTGCATCACAACTGCCTCTCATTATAAAAAATGTAGCATTTAATGCCAACCTTTTACCTTGTTTTCACCTTTTTTCTTTGTTAGACCCAGTAAGATCTTGCTTTAAAATAGTCCGAAAAAGTTTGTTATTCACACAAATCCATTTGACTCTCCTTCTCTCCCCCTTGCTGCACTGCAGGGATCAGTCCAACGTGCGGCGAATGCACACGGCTGTGAAGCTGAACGAGGTGATAGTCAACAGGTCCCATGATGCTCGGTTAGTGCTGCTCAACATGCCGGGGCCACCTCGAGACACAGAGGGAGATGAGAACTGTATCCTTCGCCAATATGATAAAAGTGTTCATGCTGAATTTCATAGAAGCTTTTTTAAGCTTCATAAACACCGTGGCTAGGCTGCTGTTTGTCTATTCCTTTAACGTGTCCCTCAGATATGGAGTTTCTGGAGGTGTTGACTGAAGGCTTAGAAAGAGTGCTGCTGGTCCGAGGCGGAGGTCGAGAAGTTATCACCATCTACTCATGATCAAGTGTTAGCTGCTACTCATCAGAATACATTCCACCTCTGGACAGGAGGCAGCAGCTGCTTTGCTGCCAAACATTTCTCAGTACAGGCATGAGTTTGACTTTCATTGTGAAGTACCGATTTTTGAGTACAAAGGTTTTATTTAATTTTTGTAGAATATTGGGACACACTTGTTCACATATCTACCTGTTGCTCACGATCGCCATTCTTTACACATAAATCCTGTTTTTCTCAAACGGAAATCAATCATATTTATGTCACAAATTCATCTTCATATAGATAATAATCCTTATTATCCTGATTAGAACACAAGTTGGAAGAATTGTTTAAATACTTTGCCAGATTTTTTATTCTGAAACAGCTCTTTGATTATCTTGGAAGCACAACTCTATTTATTTATTTATTTTTTCAACATGTCCCCACTGAGGTATTACATATGTTGCTGTGGATATTGAACGCAGTGCTTGGTTGTGCTGTAAGGCAGAGATCATGAAACACGTTTTTAAAGAGTAATAATTTATGACTTTTTGTTGGAAAGATATTTGTGTTGTTATGAGAGATGTTTATGAATGACTTTTGAACTGTTACGTTTTTTTACCTTTTTCAACAAACTTAAAAAGCATTTCAGATCATCAAGAGACCCTTTTTTGTTTAATGTGTATTTGTTTTGTATTTTCTAAGAAGCTAAGTGTGAGCAGTATTACAGGCCAGGAGTCTAGAAATCAACTGTTTATTTGTATGTGGGCTAAACAATCAGTACAAGCAGAGTGTTTTATATGTAGCAGATCAAGCATGACAATTAAGCAGTTAATAAAAAATGAACCACACAATGCTAGGAATTCTACTGGTCTTCCCTTCACTTCAATAGATATCTCTTTTTCCAAGGAAAGCATTACATAGGGTGGAGTTGATTATTCCACTTAAACCATTGTCCCTTGCCAGCAATACAAATGTTTTTTTGCAATTCAAATGTTGGCACATATATGCTTTTTAAATTATATTGGCAGTATTTTAGATAAGCTATGAATATTTATTTTTGGCAAAGCTATTACATTAAATTGATTATGTGAACAAAAACATCACGGACATGGTGTAGATTGTAGAAGATAGAAAATACATTTATGACAGTTTTTTCTGATTGGCCATAGGGTAGTATAGCTCACTTTAAAATACAGAACCTGTAAATCTCCAAAACATCTTATCATGCTATAAGATCAAGAACATTTACATTTATAAACTGCTCCCCCATACTATTTTTTAAAACTTATTAAAATAACTTTATTTTAAAGCAATAAATAGTTGAACATTCAAAATGAAGATTTCAAACAACTCACCAATGTAGCATTTGTGCAGTTTTATTGATCAGCGTCATTATTCACCTTTAACTTATTATATCTCATAGAGATGGTGTCAGCCAAGATACAACAAATTCAGCAACAAATTAAATATGTAATAAATAAACTCCAAAACGAACTGAGTTCCTTTCAGAGGAATGATGATTAATGTATAGTTATATATATAGATAGATATATACTTTATACAGAGGTGGTTTTTAACATTTTAACCCAAATGGGGTTACACGTCAAATGTATATATTTTTTTAATGTATTATTTAAAAAAAAAATCCACTTTAAAAATCAAGCTGCAGCTGAACTTTCTAAGCACTCATTGAATCATGTGAAGGCTGGAGAGCAGCAGAACGATGGAGAGCATCAGCAGACCTTTTGGTTCCTGTCGGGCTCTGGAGGATCCGCTCCGGTCAGGGTGGTCTCTCGTGTCCGGAGGTCTGAGGACCAGCCTGCACGGGTTCTGCACCTCCTCCACGGGGATCTGGACCTCACTGGGCCCGGTGCTATTCAACTGATCACGGACCTGTGGGAAAAACAGTGACACAAGAGAGGGAGGAGATACAACATGTACATTTTAGAACTCATCTTTGAAGTGTTGTTAGTTTTTATATATCATTTCAAACTTGTAGTGCAAAGAAAGCATGTCATGGGTAATAAATGATGCATATAAGTCAATATGTTAAGGTCAATCAATCTATTGCTATATTTAAAATTGTTATTTCAAACACAAGTAAAAAAAACATTTGAATACTATGTCATGAAGTAAGGTAGCTACGACATAAAAATGGCCCCTTTATTTTAGGAAAAATACAATACATATAGTGACATTTTGTTTAGAGACCAATTAAATAACACATACTCTTCATATTTTCTACCAAGCATACATTATTTGTATCCTTCATAATACTGTAGCAAAACACTCCTGTGGCTCAATTATGGAGAGCAAATGTAGCCTTCATTTGTAAGGGAAGACTGTTTTTAGAAGCACAATCTCTTATTCCTATAGCTCACCCTCTCGACCCCCTCGAACACTCGCAGGAAGTTCCTTCGAAGGACATCAGCTAACTCATTCTCCGTCCAGTTCCTCTGCAGGAGTTCCAGAATCAGGGCGGGATACTTTGACACATCCTCTAACCCTCGAGGAAAGCTGTTGATGAAAAACACTTATTTTGCCAAGAAACCACTTATTCTGACACTTTTGGCTTATAACATTACATACCATTATGAGTAGATAATAATCACACGAGTAATTAAATAAACACTTGCTAATGTATTCCTTCAATGTCATTTGTTTTGAGACATTCCTGTTTCGACTAGATTGTATCTGCATGCAGGGGGAAAGCAGATATGTTGCAGAACGGTGCATTGAATCTACTTTTCCCCCCGCATTCAGATACAATCTAGTCCAAACAGGAATGTCTCAAAACAAATTACATACTGCTGAATCTCTATCTCTATGCCTGTTAGAAGTGCAAAGTTATTGATTTTCAGCCTGTTGACTGCAGAGACAGACAAAGTGCTGATATCATTACAGGCTAACAAAAGCACAATATTGATCTGAAGACAAGTGTGCACTCTTCTGGCATTAGCATCAGCATTAGCTGTGTTTTATTTTGGTTTCTCGGCGTGTACGTCTCCCCACTAATTCTAGTTATTTGATAGAAGATATTTAACTACTTTAACTTTTAGCTCCTAGCTTTCTATACATTGTGTTTACAGGTGAACATATCTTACCTCACAGCACCTTCATAGTCCCCTCCAACTCCTATTGACTCTGCTCCAATCACCTTCTTTATGTGGTCAAAATGGTCTGTGAAACCCAAGTGGAATATTAAATCAACCAACAAATAAGCAGATTTAATTTGTAGCAAATAAAAAATCAACATGGACGCCTCACCAGCCACATGAGAGATGTTTGCTTCATCCCTGCAGGATATGAATTTGCTGTGGAGGTTCACCATGATCAGCCCCTGCTTCTTTTTCTGAAACACACAAAGCTCCAGTGAATAAAAACACACACACACAGTGAACCATCCGCTAAAATGTGCTATGTATGAATGCAATTTCCACACACAAGTGGCCCTTATTTTGTCAGTGCTCTGAAGTTTAAACAAGGGTAATCAAGGGGCATTTTTACTGCAGGAGATACAAGTTCAGATAAGATGAAAGACCCAGGGCATTTTTGAGCAATAACGTTTAAAAGGCTTTCATCCGATGACTTTTTCAATATGAAGTTGTACATGTTAAGATGGAGCTGGGTTACATTACATGCACAAACAGCCTTCTTTAGGGTGGTGTAGCTTCTGTATCATTAACATTCATTAATTGTAGTTATTAGTGGTAAACATTCAGGTTTCTGCGTATGCAACCTCTAAACCCTGTGACCTGCAGTGAACTAGCCTGCAGCGACAGCGTACACACAATGTGTGGCATAATGAGAAACATGCCCACTCATGAAGGAACTAAGAAAGCATGAGTTGGGTTGAGGTTGAATTAGAAAAATGTGTCTCAGTTACTTCACGGTTTGGATATTCAGTCTATTGGAACAACATGTGTATATATCAAACAACCCAGAACTTAAATTAAAAAGCAAAAACCTAGGGGATTCAATGAATTGTGAATGTGTCTAATTACATCGTGAAATCAACATTAAGAATGATGTGCTGTTCTGAAGTGGCTATTCCCATGCATAGCAAATACTTCAGTATTTATACTACTGCTTTTCCAAAGAACATATACATTTTTACTGACTGAATCACAAGGAGATGTTATTAACTATTTTAACATTAATTCTTCGAGTTGTGTTCATTACAAACTGAGAAGATTAATGAAACATGGGATAGGACCAACTCATAATGTTGTACAAAGGAGAAAAAGAGGTGACAGAGATGAATCTTTAGTTGAAAGCAAAGTACAGTTCATATAAACAAATGTAGCAGACGAAGTGGGAGGAATGAAGAATTTAGAAATGCATTGGTGCATACAGCTGACACTGAATAAGGGCATAGACTCACGTCAGCTTAGAAACTCTACAACAACCAAGATAGGGCCTTCCACCTTTTCCGACTGCAAAAATAATTTTGCATTGGAAACTAACTGCCAATCACAACAGTCTAAAAATAAACAGAGTGACTACTCTGATCTACTGTAGATCCTAAAGTTCCTTTGTGCGTCATAACCAGACAGGCATTTCATGTTTGCTCAGTGTGTGGTGACATCAAAGAGGAAATTATTGGGAAGCAAACACGGGTAAGGAAATGATGAAAGACTGACATGACATGTTGACTTTTGTTACCCTGCACATTCAGAATAAATTATAGTGACTGTTAGTAGGCTGAAATGTAATAATTGTTTAAAAGTGGAAATCCTTTCTGCATTTTCTCCCCTTGATACACAAAACACTAATGAAAACAGATTGAATGTTCTTTGTCAGAGGTATAAATACAAATCATAATTACAATAAATGAATCAGTGACTTCATAAGTTTTAATCAAGCAACTAAGCAAGCGATTAATCATTCAGTGAATTGGTTTTCTCACCAGCTCTTTCAGCAGCCAGTCAGGTACGTTACGTTCATGGTTGCAGATGGAGTAGGAAGATGAATGGCTAAAAATAACTGGTGCCCTAGAATGATTCAGCGCCGCCGAGGCCGTTTCCCAAGAAGTGTGGGAAAGATCCACTATCATTCCCAGTCTGTTCATCTCCTCCACCACGGCCTCGGAAAAACACAATCAAGAGCCACTTGATCAAAAATGGGAAGGAAGTAATGAAATGAGGCCAACATCAGGAGATGGTTACATGCACATTAACACACTCATGCAAACAACTTACAAACAGTCCTACAGTACATGGTGATTTTAAGAGGGTCAACTGAATAGGAAAAGCACTAAAATGGGATTTCAAGTTGTTTACATTGTACAACAGCATGACTATAAATAAATAACACATGTTTAAAGGGCTTGCACGTCAAATTTGGGTTACAGCAGTTTCTCTGTTGACAGAGTGTTAAAGGTCCCATGTCATGCTTTTCCGGTTATTACCCGTCCCCTTGTGTGTTATGAAGGTTTTTATGCATGTAAACGGTCTGCAGAGTCAAAAACCCTCAAAGTACACCCTGTAGGGAGTAAAACACTAACACAGAAAAGACCTCCCCAAAATGCCTCGTTGGAGAGTTCTCATGTTCTTCCTGGGCATCGTGACGTCTGGATACCCAGTAGCCACGCCCAGAGCTATGACGCGATACGGTCATGCGGTACCCGGAACCAAATGGACCAATCCGTTGAGCCGTTACGTTACGTCCGCGGAGACGTTACGTTAAGCCCCCGCTGATTGGTCCAAATTGACCAATCCACGGACTTCCTCACACACACACACACACACACACACACACACACACACACACACACACACACACACTCAGTGCAGGCAGCTCTGCTGATTTCTCCTCCCTGGCTGCAGGCTGATAACAGACAGTTGGGATCGCGGCGAAATTCTCTCTGCAGACCCATTCTCACAGCGTTTATCAACCTTTTTCGTACTCAATATCAAGCCACACTTATTGTTTTTACTTCGGCTGTGAGTTTGTGTGTGCTCAGGATGAGTTTGGCTGTGTTTCGCTGTGTATCGCTCATAGACTGGTATCGCTAAACAAGGAAACCACACCTCCACGGAGCTCAGCGCGATTCACAACGTCCCGACCAATCAGAGCACACTGGGCTCACAGGGAGGGTGGGGGCTGGAGCTATTGGAGCTCCAACGAGCCGTTAAAGGCAGAGAGTGAAATTCAGTGAATACACGTAGTTTACAGAGATGCTGTATGAGAAACCAATGTGAGTTTGGACAATTGCACAATATAAATCTATTTTAGTAGACCTCAATAATAGAATTATGATCAGTGGAAATGGCCATGATATGGGCCCTTTAAGTATGCACAGCATTAATCAACTTAAATGGTAATAAGGTCTGCTTTCTTTGGAACAATTCAATACTGTTTCAGTGTCTCGCGGCTGGAAAATGCTATCATATCCTCTGCATTTGCATTTTTGAGAGAGCTTTATCACTCTGATAACTCCCTGATGACATGTATGGAGGCCAATGTATGTTACACAGTTTACTCTACTGTGTCTCTATTATATACTACAACTTTAAAATGTTGTGACTGGTTACTTTAAAGACCCTAGTCAGTACCTATACAGTCAATGACAAAACTATGAATAAAAACTTAAAGAAATAATTGTGTAAGCAATCATTGTCATTTCTATCTTCATCTTAAATAAACAGCAGATGGTGTGTTCTAATAACATCAGAAAAAGCTGGCCAAAAATCAGCAAACATGCTTTGTTGAATATAATAAACAAACCAAGTTGTTGATCTACTGTAAGTAAAGATTAAGCTTACCTTTCCAAAGTTTGTCAGGCTGTTGTTCTGTCTTTGATAGACATTGTACAGTTTTGAAGAGGATTCAGCCCTGCATCAAAACAGAGTATTGTCAAAACCACAAAACAGGAAAGAGTTGTACGGGTTGCGTTTACCTCACTTGCAAAAAATGTAAAAATATATCCAAGTACTGCTTCATTTAGGACAACCTTTGGGCACTAACACAATGTCAAGTTTCAAAGAGAGTACACATTCATTTGTATGGAGGGAAATGTAATTGACCTTTCCATTCAGTCAACCCTGTAAATAAATATGTAATCTTACATGTAGCAACACAAGCTTCTGTAAGGAATAGTTCTGTTAGGGTGTGAGCCAAATTACAAAATGACTTAGAAAACATTGTGTTTTATACCTTAAGTATCTTTAATTGAAAACCTGAATATCTTATCAAGTCACTGATCCTCATACAGCAAAACAGGATCAGTGACTCCATAATCAGTGACCTGGTATAGATAGTTTGTTGAATCATGTGGCCGTCATTGAATTCTGCAACATAAGACTAAATGTAAAATAAAGCATTAAGAATAAATCTCTTGATTACCAGGGTGTATTGCAGGTGTGTGTGAGCGCCATGGAGCGGACCCCAAGTTGGTAAAACATCCGCAGGGCTGGCAGGCTGCTGTCGATGGAGTGACCCCCCTCAAGACTGATCAGACAGGCTATCTTACGTTTCATTTCAGAATGCTTAATCTCTGCAGTGACAGAAACACACATGAATGAAGCGTACAACAAACCTAATTATTTATTTGTTTTAATTACTTGTTAGTAAGGAGGTATGATTCTAATCTCATAATAATTATAATTATAAATGCCTTTTTTTTCGTTATTTTTCTTCTTGATGTACAAACATACATCACATGTAAACAGATGTGAGTAAAATGGGTCGCCAGGTAGTTGGGGGTTTGGTGCCTTATTCAAGGGTCCCTTTGAAGGGCCCAGGGGATGAACAGAAACTAGAGCTTTCATGGCTCTTTTTCAAATATGCACCATACAGTAATTAAGATAAACTTAAGAGTATCGATTAATAAGTCAAAGAATGAATGATGTGTCTGTGTATAAAGTCATTGAAACAATAAACAGACTGAATCATGATTGTAAAAATGACATAAAAAACGTTTTCATCTCTAGTGTTTTGTTTGTAAATTGCCCTGTTGAGGTGTACTATACCCTGGGTAGATGTGACCAGCTCAAAGTCCTGGTACTCAGTGCACATGCGTCGGACCACATCTATTTGTTCCAGAGCCAGCCGCACGGCATCCTTCTCCTGGGCCCAACACATCACATAGACTGCAAACATCTGACAAAGGGAACGGGACGGGACACAAGAGCGTCACTGAGGTGCTGTTCTAGGTTTGATCATTTTACAGCTTTGTAGATGCTTTTATTCAACATATACTATCTGGAGCAATCCATACTTTAGAACAGATCAGTGTCAGGAGTGATTCAATTGAAATACCTGCGTCTGTACATGGCCTGCTTGGAGACGGTTGATGTCGGTGGCCACATTGCTAACATTATGAAGGTCAATTTGGCTCAGACGATTGTTGTGAAGTTTCCTCAGCTGAAGAGCAAGGTCATTATGACTGATAGATGGAGAGAAATGGTGTCAGAAAAAAGGAAGGGCATTGAAAGGCTTTTTTCTATTCCATTAATTCACTTTCACAAACTATAGACAGCATTTACCCATCAATGAGAGGATACTTGGACATCAAGTCACGTACTCTATCTCTGTCAGAGTATCCAGAGATAAAACAACAGAGAGAGGAGAGGACCACCAGATGTCCTACAGACTTCATCCAGGATCTGCTTGAAGCACTTGTTACCCAAGAAGGCATATTCTGAGGAGAAAAACACACCAGCGCAGTACAGTTAGAATCACAGCTACTGATAACATTGTCTATTTTGGCATCCTCATTTAGTAAGGAAGGAAACTAACTTCCCTGCACAACACATTACAATACAATAGTAGCTGGAAATACAACATTACAGCATCTTATAAAAAGTACTGCTTCACATCTCCTGCAGTTTGAAGTCCCACTTGTTAGATTACACTATTACTGATGAGATCAAACCCCCCTTTTCATAGAATGAATTTATGTGTACTCACTATTTATTATTACAAAACACAGTAAGACCACACAAACACAGTATGTAAAATACCTGAAAACACCCAGTGGAAAATAAAGCAATGATGCATGTTCATTTACAATAATATTTATATCTATATAATAGCGGGAAACTATATAATGTATACAACAAAATAATTAACTTACATGCCAGGACGTTTTAAAGCAGCTTGTTCAACAACTGCATTCAAACAGTGCGAACTTTCCAGCTCTCCACCCTAGTAAAACAAAACCCGAGCAGATGTACTCAGTGCTGCGTTCAAGTCCAAGCAAAAATAATACGCATTCATAAAGTTTGAGTGTTATTCCGACGTGTTTACCTGTAACAAAGTATGTGCTTAGCTAATAGATACATATTATATTGACAGTAGAAAAAGCAGTATCTCTAAATGGACTAATCATCGCCCCTTCTTTATTTAAAAACCTATATATAGTGTTGCAGTGACTGTAACAAACGATAATTACAAATCAGAAAACAGGTGGCTCTATAGAAGCTATACAATTAAACTGTTGGGAACAAGTACATATTTAGTTTTGAATATATTTTTCAATTGCAGTTTCATTCATGTACTTATTTATTTCACTGTGTTGCAATACGATGTAAGGATTTACGAGGAGCTTTTGAAAGCACCATGGAGACCTGTGGATTTGATGTTGCCATCTGTTGGGCAAACAATGTTATCGCAACCATAAAAGGACAGTTGCCCACTTACTGCCTTGTAATCAGTGTTTTAGATGTACACAGAGTTACTTGGAAGTTATACGTCAAAATCAACTGGGCAAACATTTTTTATTTCTTATTTATTCAAGAACATCATATATGTTGTATACAAAATGGTTAGACATAGAGTAAAATAAAAATATACAGTTTAATATTTCAGATTCAATAATTATTAAATTCACGATTAGTTTTGATTGCCTTTTTATTCATATCGTTTTTATATATATAGTATATGTTTATCAAGAATTAACACAATATAGTAGCACTATAGTGCTACTATATTGTGTTAATTCTTGATAAACATTTTTCTAAATGAGGTTTGAAGTCAGCCCATCGCTTTTTATGAATATGACACTTTCCCCCAAAAATCATATTAACTGTACAAAAAAATGAAAATAAATCTACGTCCATAGGTCCATACCATGGTCCATAATCAGGGGTGCACATAACTTTTTTAGTGAGTTACTCAGATGAGTACCAGGAGACAGCGTTTGGTACTCACCCCACATGAAGCGTGGTTTTAATAAGTGCAGTCTTCCTCACTGTCCTCCTCAGTGTCTCCTTCACTGTCCTCTATTTACACTTCTTGCATGCTAGATGATGAAGATGCACCTCCCTGTCTCTTTGTAAGCCTCCGATTTGCTTTCTCCAAAACTTGTTGCCAAAACTGTGAAGTCCTTGCATTTCCTGAGGCCAAGTTGAAGGATCAAATACTAAGAAATTATCACATGACTTGTAGTCATATCTGATTTCAGAGGAGGGAAGTAACAAAGTACACTTATTCAAGTACTGTACTTAGGTACAATTTATGCTACTTTGTACTTCTACTCCACTACAGTTCAGAGGTAAATCATGTACTTTTCCTCCACTACATGTAGTTAATACATTTTAGTTACTTCACAGATCTGGATGAATGATGTGAAATATAATCAAGTCTTAAATCAGACTTTAGTTCCACCTGGAGTAAATCCACAAGCTACCCTGCAGTATACAAAGTCATTCAAACTCATTTTTAAACACTTTAATGATCAATAATTATAAAACATATCATATACATTATTATGAAATGGACCAATCCGCAAAATGACTACTTTTACTGTCGCTACTTTAACTAGGTGTTGATGATAATACTTTTCTAATTTTACTTGAGTAACACTTCATCCACCTCTGTCTGATTTCAAACTCTTCCATTAACAGCCTGACTAAGTTTGCAGCTGTGTGTTTACTCCACTTTGTTGTAAATAAAACTGCAGCAGCTTGACCACAGAGCGTGAACGTTGTGATCAGCTGATTTTGCGCAGTTCTCCAGTGTGTGCGCGGGGCACAGAATGTGCACAGGGGAGTCTCCCACTGCAGCCAGTTGATGTAGTTTTGGTACAATTCTGTTGTACACACCGACGTTAACAGCAGCTCCGTCTGTGCACACGGCGACCAACTCTGTCGTCCAGTGATCTAAGCCTCTTTCTCCTGTGAAGCTTCACAGGTCCGTCGGTTATGTCCTGCGCGGCACGGCCAGCACCCAGTTCAATCAGTCATAGAAAGTCCGAAGATTTTAGCAGGGAGCGAAACGGCAAAGTGGCTGCTTAATGTCTTTGTTTTTTTTGGACATGTCTAATAATTTACTCCACTGAGTGTTGACAAGAAACACGTATAGACGAAATATGTGTTTTTGTTTTGATGACCTATCAAGTACGCAAAGGCGCGTTGTGACACAAGTGACGTTACGCATTTCAGATTGTTGCCGCGCATGCGTACCTGCGTACCAGTTATGTGCACCCCTGTCCATAATCATATATCTCAAGACCGCTGTACTTTCTACGGTGACGCTACCTTTACAGGAAATTACCTGGAAATTACGCGAAAACATGGCAGGTGGAAGTGAAGCCAGTGCAAATACCTTGGAAAGTGATACAAGTAAGTCCAAATATACAGTTGAACACTCTTTAGCAAATATACAAAATGTGTAAAAGAACAAAGACTGATAAATAAACCTGATAATAACTAAATACGTAGCTTGCTGATGCCCACAAGCTAACTACGTCATATCCGGCTTACAGTCCTTTTTGCCGCAAGTTAGCAAGTTTAAAAACAACTCGTTTGGTTTTCTTACAGCTGAATTGAAGGAGGTTTGAGGAATCGCAAAGTACTCAATCAGGGGTAAGCGTTGTTAAATAATGTTCAGGTATTTTGCTTGCTCAATTATACATAATAGTGGGCAAGTTTGAGTTATCTGAGTTGTGGACACCTGTGCTTTTGCTGAGACATGTAGGCCTATGGTAAAAACGCCTTCTGTGAAAATGTATATTTGCTCAAATTTCCCAAAATAATTGATAAAAATGATAGGCTACACAGCAAGGCTGACAACATTAATAATCACAGATCCAACTGTAAACCATTTGAACAACAAAACTATTCTAGATTTTAAAACAACGTTTTTTATTTATTTAAACTCGTGGGTTAGAAAGTCCATTGGATGCTCTGCTGGGCCTTTTATTCATGGTGTCAATGTTTTCCCATTTTAGGAATCCCAAAAACCTGAAGGATTTTGTCCGATACATGGTTCACCGTTTGGCATTTGGAGCTCACAACAAAACAGGGCAGGAACAAGATCATGAGGTAAGAGTGCTTTTTGATTATTATTGAATGCTATGAGCTGTTTATTAATTGCCCCAATACACTGTGATTAACATCTACAGATCAGCAAGTACTTATTGAAATTTGTATGGTGGCACATCATTTTTGTATTTGTTTGGTTCTTTAGCGAAGCAGTGGAGGAGGTCTTAATCGTTTCTAAGAGTAGTGGTGGGAATAGTGAATTAGCGCTTAATGTGTTTGTGATAATTGTTTTTTCTGCTTGAAGAGTACTTTGGTTCACTTTGGAGATAGGAAAGCATTTGCCTGTGGATTGATGGTGCGTGTTGTGTGACATTATAGCAAACAGCTCATGTGGACTTTTAGGAATGCATGTGGTGTAAAACAAGGATTTTAACTATTTGGCATGTGGTATGATAGTTTGTCATGTATACCAGCACAGCCCCTAGTAGACCCCCCCTCCCCTACACACACCACAACACAGACTATATCACCCCTTGCTGCTAAATACTAATCAACTATGTGCAATATGTGCTATATGTGCAATATATATATGCCGTTAATAACTGTGTAATTTATACCTGGCTGCTAAATCCTTAGAACCGTGACAAGGTGTGTATTTTGCATTTTGTAAATTGTGTAACTTGCTGCAGTTAAATACCATCAAACTATTTGCAATATGTGCTATATGTGCAATATATACATTATATACATATGCCATTAATAACTGTGTAATATATACCTGGCTGCTAAATCCTAAGAACTGTTACAGGATTTGTATTTTGAAAAGTATGTAACTTTCTTTTTTACTTTTTTATTATATTTGTATTATATCATAACTTAGTACAAATCCATGAGTTGCATCTGATATAAATATGTTGATATGTTATAGGTTGTCACTAGGGTTGGCAGATTGTGAGATTTTTCCTTTTTTAACCAAATACCTTGATTGTGATATTGCATATTTCATACATTTTAAGGTTGACTGTTGATGCTTTCACAAAATACTTACACAATGAGCTTTAAATAAATAATCATCTGTTGTGTGGGTTTAATAACTTAGTGTGTAAAAGAAAACAACAGAACAGCTAAAACTGTTTGTTTTGGTCTTAAAATGAAATCTCTTCACTGTAACGAAGGCTTTAAAACCAGGAAAAGATGATACTTATTCTAAGATATAATTTAAGACGATATAAAGTATGTCTATCACAATATAAATATTATCAATATTGCCCAGACCTGTCACCTTTTGCTGCATGAGACGAGATAAGCAAGAGAATAAGTGTCAATAAATGCAGGTGCCCCTCCACTGGAGCGGTACATGTACCTGGTCAGATTACTTTGCTTTTCCTTAACAAGAATCGTTCCTGGAAAGATACATCTGATACAGTGCTCTGCCTCTTACTATCTGCCCTGAATACCAAGGTCCAGACCACAGAATACAAACTCTGCTCTTACACGCTTTTAAGCCTGAAATGGGCTCGTGCTTAATGAGTCCGAGGTGGATTCTGCAGATGTAAATGAGTCTGCGTTGATGGGGAACATCAGGGTGCCTCAAATGAATTTCAATTAATTTCAGTTGGAAGATGTTAAGCCTGATTCTGTGGTCCTCCTACTGAGATCTGGCCTTGTAGTCTGTAATGAGGGGAGTGATTCGGTTCTGATTGGAGCTGCCTACTGCTTCAATGGAGTAATCACAACTGTGTTGATATTACTCTACCAATCCCCCCGCTGCGCAGAGTGGACCCCCTGCTGGCACTGTTTGAATTCAAATTAACCAAATCATTTAGTCGTATTGTCGATCTTGGTTTAGAATTTGTCTGGCAACATAGGACGATAAAAATCCCTCACGTTGTGTAGCTGGCTGCTGTTTTTGTTTTTCATAATTTGAGGGAAAGTATTTGAGTACGGTCACTGTCAGCTGACACCACTTCAGAAAATTGTTTTTCTAAATAATTATGTTTTTCTTTAAAACCGTAATGAAA